TACTATTTTCTCAATATACATATTTAACTCAGTCTATGAATCTAACTCAACCCACATGAAACTGACTTACTTCACTGTACTTGCATCTCACCTAATCGACTATGCTGTCTTACATTTTACTTTTCGCACCACATCTTAATTTATCACACCACTGTGATATTAACCACTTTCAGAAGCCCACAGCAAATATGCCATGTGGAAATGCAGAAAAAAATACATAAGCAAGCAGTCAACTTTTTAAAAATCTCTAACACTGTGTTATATACCAATTCAGTAATAGTCCCACAAGATCTCTCACCTAGAAACCCTGCATTTGACAAAATATCCCATTTTTAAAAATTAGACATTTTAATTTAGAAAAACTATTATTTTGTCTTACCTAATACAACTAACGGACAATGAAACTCTGGTGATCAAAAGTCTGCAACAGGTATTATCAAAAGACAGGAAGATGCTGTGGGCGTGGCCTTAGAAAATCAAAAAAAAGAAAAGCACAGTTGCAAAAGATTGCTAAACAATCTCTTGTTTTATTTTGACCTAAACAGCCAAAATAATCATGGCATCTTTGCACCTTTACATGTAAATAGCTCTGAAGCAATAGCAGACAGAGCAGTGGGCTTTTGAATACTCTTTTTTGTTGATTATTTTCTGAGAGGGTGGGCACATCTTTCCCAATATAGTATCTTGTAACAAGGGAGAGAGACCACTTTTCTTAGGATGAACTAATGGGTATTACTATTGCACTAAAGCAAAGGAGTTGTATTTATATAGTTGTACATACACTTCTACTTTTTATATAACAGAATAACTTGAAAACAAATTTTAAGTAGCTCATTTTTCATTCCTCATTTATCATGACATCCTGTAAACTTATTTTAGGTAAAATGTATAAGAAATGCACCCAACTATTATTGATTAAACATATATGACACATGATGCCATGGCTTCTCTGACAGTAGCCCAAAAAAAGCAGATTTCAAAAAACAATTGCATTAGCTGCACCAAAGATTTTGAAAGGTTATTATACTACAAGCAACAAAGATTCTTGTTTGGTTTAAAAATTAATAAGAAGAATGCAACACTTGGGGGATAAAATGTTCATTATATATCATTGCATGGAGTTTCTATTTAGGTTTTCATTCTTTTGTTAAGGTTTTAAATAATAAAACTATTGGAAAATTGTTGGTTTCCTTGTTCCTTATTCTTTCATTAGCAAATTAACAGTCTGAATATTTATTTTCATAAATTAATTAATCCTTAAACTGAAATTGGTTATATTCTTGCATTTTTTAGAACTCACAAATATGTAATCTCCCCCTAATCCCTTAAAAAAGGGATAGAATATATGTATATATTCAGGGAAAGTAAGTAAATATATATATCTTTGAAAAGTATATGTACTTCTAATTGGTTTATTTAGAGCACTGTGGTTCATGGACAGTTTTTAAGCTTTGGACCTGTTGACCTTTCTTATTTCACTTCAATTCAAGGGCAGTGCCACGTACCCAGGCATGGCAGACACTATCAAAGTCTGAGACTCTGTGAAAGTAAAGAAAACAGAGACTTTACTCCCAACTACAACTAGTCACCTCTTGGGATGTGACATGATTAATTATTATCAGGCATAAACACTAGTGAGGTATGAAATACCACAGGAGGATTATTTTCACTTCTTTGCAATCAAGAAAGACTTCTTAGCGGAGATGGCATTTTCTCCAAGCTTTAAGAAACATGTGAAAATAGAAGACAGAAGATGTTATGCACAGAGTAAAGCCAAAGCAAAACCACAGAGACCTGAAAGCATGTGGCTGACTATGGGAACTCTGAGTGGTGTTTGGTGTCTGTGGAGCCAGGGGAAAGGCAGAGAGAGATGAATCTGGGAATGGTGCTCACACAGCCACTCACAGCCATGTCATCGATTCCTGTCCTTTACAAAAGGACAAAATGGAACAAGTGGTACTCCACTGGTACAAAATCACCCTTGTTTGGGGGTAGGAGGTGATCAGAGTTGGGGGTAGGTCTCCAACCAAAAAAATATAAGTAAACATAAGTCATATTCTTTACATATATACTTCTCCTTAAAGAAGCGCTCAAAAGAAAAAACCCTGCACTTAAAAAACTTATTTACTCTTCCTAAAAACACAAAAATTTGGAGCTATTCTTTATTCTGTTTGCCAATATGTCAAATGTATTTGCCTTTACATGTAAAATGTAAACTTCAGACAAAATGGACTATGATACAAAACCACAGTGTGCTTAGTTTCTACACCTCTTTGCTTCTCCAAGAAGCTACAATTTTCCCACCTCTGGGCTTCACAGACACATTGTTCTTCAAATCCCTCCATCGTTCTCAGGTGTCAGCCCTCAACCTGTAGCTTTCAGTGTGGCCCGTCTTAGTGCTTCACAGGATTCTTGAGTTTCCTGATGTCTTATTAATTTGTTCTTTTCCATGTGCAGTGACTTGATCACCCATGTTCCTAAGTTGCATGATGGAAAGAACCTCATCTATTCTATTCACTGCTCTATACATACCTGAAGCTGAACCTGACATATTACAGATTCAATAACTATCTGTCAAATTAATAATTAATGATGTTCCAATACGAAGACATATAGACTTGTCATACCCAAAAGTTGTATCTTCAAATTGACAAATCAGATTCTTTAAATTTTCTTGGGGGAATTCCTATGCAAAGAGTAAAGCAAAGAGTGTCTGGGAGAAAAAAGTAAATAGGTTTAAAAATATTCCTTGAAGAGTATTTCATTAAATAATGAAATAATTATATATGGTTACATGTATTAATTTAAAACCACCTAATTATCTATCAATATATAATTTATACAATATAAAGTTTTCATCTTTATTTTGCTTAAATTAGTATTGATAAATTAATCCCTTTCTGGTACTCAAAAGATGTATCTATATTTTTTCTTCACTTAAGAATACATTTCTTTAAGTATAAGAAATAAAAAGAGGATAAAGAAAAGGTTCTGACAAAATTTCCTTCTGGTCTATCTTCCCTTCCATTTTGCCATCAAAAATAAGACAGCAAAGTGACCTCCAGCATATACTTCTTTACAGATCATTGAGGCATGCATATCATTGCAAACTCATGAATACCAAGAGGCCAGTCAGGGTTGAAAATGGTGAAATAGTCTTTCAGGGAGCTCAGATATCTTCTATATCTGGAAAAAAGTATACCCCATCTTAAAATTCAGAAGTGTAAAACAAACCCCCTTCCGTCATCCAACATGACAAAAACATTCATTGTCCATAATTATAGAATAATCTGGTTATGTATAAAGAATACACACAATAAGTTTTAATCATTGTTTACATTAAAATAATCTTATCTAGAAGAGAACACACTTATTATTTTCAAGTAGATGGCAACTTTGGAGCTCTGCCTGGTGAAAACTGTGTTCTAAGAGGTAATCTGAAGAACTAATGGTGAGAAGCAAACACTTTAAGTCATGATAATGTGATCCCATGGGGATCAACAATGTTTAAAACAATCGACTTGTAATAAAAGATTTGCTGGTTAGGGCTCTAGGTTAAAGTGGAAAATTAAAATTCATTGTTCTTAATAGCTTCTACACTACACTAGTTTGAAAACATTTTCCCCAACTACTTCACCAGGAAGTATTATATTTACATAATATCATCTCCCTAAAAACAGCCACTCTAATTTATCTCTGATGTTTGCCTTTTAAAGCTTGATTCTAAGAGCAAGTAATTTCCAGTTTCTAATTGTGACAATAAGCTATTGTCCCTTTAACATATTTAGCTGCAGCTTTTTGAAAGAGGAGTATTAAAACTTTTGGTCAGAGATCTGTAAATAGGTGGAACACATATACACACACTCACATATATACACAAGTATAGCATATGCTTTTCTCTCTATCTTTGGAACAACAAGGCATTTAAAACAAATACAGCTGGGCACTGAGAATATAATGTGCTGGGCAAACATATACTCCTGTTAACGTAAATATATTCTTCCATGTTTCCTGCCAAGCCCACTTAGTTATGAAAAGCAAGCCTTGTCTCCCACAGAACACCCCACATGTTCTCAAAACAACTGCCTTTAGCAACTGGCTGCGGAGACAAGCAGAGATGAACAAAAGCCGCTGGGCTAGGGTCCTGAGAGAGTTGCCTTCTCAGACCCTGACATTTTAAAAGCAGCATAAGAGGGTCACGTTAGGCACTAGCTGTTTCTCAAAAAATACGTACTGTAAGGCAACCATTCTATCATCTGTCAGTAGTAAAGGCTTGTGTCTCCTGCAATTGGCGAGTCGCTGCATTAAAACTGACACAGACTGGAGACGCACACTTCACCTAGCACCCAATTCGGACGACTCCTTCCTGCTCGCATCCCTCTCCGCACCCCAGGCTGTGACCTAAAGGTTTCAGAGTGCTCAATGCTGCCCGGGAGCGGCGTTCCGGGAAATCTCAGCTGAACTAGCCCTTAGTCCACACACCCCTGACCCCCTCCCTTCTCCTGCACCTGCCCTGCTGAGGTCCCGGTGGGGAGCACCACGTTTCTCCAAGGGCTGGGAGCAGGGAGGTTTCCAGGAGGCCTGGGAGGCCAGGCACACGGGAATTCCCGACTCCCCCAAGCTGACTGGAAGCAGCCAGCGCGCCCCGGGTGTTGCAGAGATCCTTGCCCGGCATTCTGGAGTCAGACTCTATCCCCAGGGGAAGCCGGGACCCTCGGAGGAGAAGGGCATTTCCTCCGGAACGCAGCCCGCGGGAGGCTCCGAGCAGGGCGCGGCCGGGGAGGAGCGGGCCAACTTGCCGGCTGCCCGCGGGGCTGAGTTTGCAGGGGCTACAGGTTGCCCGAGAGCCGCCTCCAGCTCCGCGGGCGGAAGGCGCTCGGGGCGCACGCGAGGGAGCCCGGGGTGGGGACGCTGAGAACCGGGAGAGCCCGAGGAGGCCCCGTGCAGGCGGGAGATGGGACAGATCGGAGCCGCGCCTCCCGACGGTGACCCCCACAGACCTTGGCGCCGCAACCTGCGCTTCTTGAGGCCGAAGATGCGCACTTTGGAGAAGATATCCACCAGGTTGCCGTTGCAGAGCCCACGGTTCTTGCTAGGGCTGCTCCGCCTCCTGCTGGCGGACGGCCGGTCCCAGTGCTGCTCCCGCGCCTGCCGCTTCTGGCGGATCAAGCCGCTGGCGATGGCCGCGGCCATGGTGGCCCCTGGAATGGGTCCGGGGAAGGGAGGGGATGGAGGGAAGAGGAGCCGGCGAGAGGAGAGGGAAGGGGCGGCGCAGAGCGCGGTTCACCCCGGGGGAGGCGGTGCGCGGAGGCCGGAGAGGTCGGCGAGAGGCGTCAGGGCGCTCAGTCCCGACCAGGACCCATCGCCCTCTCCGCAGAGCTAGGGGCCCGGCGCGCAGATGCGCCCAGGGCGCTGCGGGGCGAGTCCGGGGATCGGAGGTCGTGCCCGCCGCCGCCCAGCCGCGTCCGAGCCGGGAGTGGGGCCGAGCTGCGGGCGCCGCCGGAGCCGGCTCAGGGGTCCTCGCCCTGCCCGCCTGCCGGGCGGGAGGTAGAGCGCGCCGCCTTCTTGCAGGGCCGGGATGGAGGGCAGGTGCCTGCAGGGGCTCGGCGCGTCGGTCAGTCCAGGGAGCGCCGGGCAGGTCTCAGCGCCGGGCCCGAGCTGCCCCCCGGCCCGTGCCGTCGCCGCCGCCGGCTCTCGGGTTCTGCTGGTGATTGTCAAGTGCTTTGGAAATCAGCATCTGGAAGAGCGGTCTTCTGCCCGGAGATCTCTAATCAAAGCGCTTCGTCCCCACCCCTCCACACCCCTCCAGTCCCCTCCTCTGTCTCTCTTAAGAAAGAAAAAAAAATGTAAATGTAATAATGATTTTCAAAATAGTAATAATAAAAAGAAAGCTAAAATGGATTCCAGGGGGTGGGGTGCTAAGAAGCTGAGTGAAAGCAGGTGGGATTGGAGGAATATCGGTGCGCTTTTTCTTAGATGAAACTCGCAGGTTTCCGAGGCTTCCGAGGCTTAGTGGGGCTTGTGGATCTTAACGTGTCTCCCGGTTCGCGGAAACTCTCAGCTGCGGTTGGAGGGCGAGGTGGTGTCCGCCCTCCCGTTAATCCCCTCAGCCCCAAAGCCCCCCTCCCACCTCCACCCCAAGAGGGGAAGGAGGAGGTGGACTAGGGCGGCGGGGAGGGAGGGGAGTGCGTCCTGAGGGCGGAGGCGCCTCCACGCCTAACCTAGTCCACCCAAACTTGCTGGACTCTGCCTTCTGCTGCCAGGCAGGGAAGGTTTGTCATTTCCAAACGGTAACACAGGGCGAAAGGGAGGTAGGAGGGGAAGGTGAGAACAGAACGTGCGGTAAGTGATATGGAAAGATCCCCTTCCCAATCTGCTCTCTAGCACTTGGAGGAGGTGACAGTGGCTGTAGCTGCTACAAAACCAGTTGGACAGAATAAAAGTCCAACTGAATACTGAAGAAGTCACTGCAGAAATATTAAAAGCAGGGGAGTAGTCCAGTGACAACAGAAAGCAGACTGAGGGACACTCCCAATTTAAGCTGCTGGCTTTGGCATCCCTGGATAGAGAGGCTCTGTCAGGGAGCAAAGCCATATGAACTGTATCTGAAATTCAAACACAACAGCTGCTGCCTCCTCTCTGTGATTTCCTGTGTGTGTCCCAACAGTGTTCCGTCTTGGATAACTGAAACAGGAAAGTCTGAGAGGAAGGGCACAAGCGGAGGGCACCCTAGGAGAGGGAGTTGAACACTTCATGCATGGCTGAAGACAGAAGTGGTTTCTAGGATACACTGTGAGTGACAGAACCAAGCGCCAAGTGCAGCTTTTGCTTGTGTGGCTTCCTACATTTCCTCTTTCCCTCTGAGCTGTTTTGCTTATCATTGTAGGAAGACAGAGAAAAGAAATGCTAAAACCAGACTTCTCAAAATCCAGTGTGAAAGATGCAGAAAATTCATTTGGTAATTAAGAGACTTGTAACAATCACTTTTCCAGTGACTGCATTAGAGCTGCAAAGAGGTTTCTCAAGCAGTCCTGGGAACAGTCCTGAACCAACACACACTCTTTTCTTGTCTCAGGAATAGGCAGTAAAGTGCTACAGAGACTTGCAACCAGGCAAGTGGAGAAGTTCAGCCAAGGGCTGATTACAAGAAGGCTAGATACCATCTGCTTTGCAGAACTTAACCACAACCTCTCAGTTACTGCTCAGTCCTTACTCACTGGATTTACTACGTATTTACTAACAAGTCTCCTTTGGTGGAGAAAATTTAATCTAAAGGGAGTGTGTAGTTTTGCATCCAGTGCAGACAGCATTAGCTTTAGGATGATGTATATCATATTTAACAGTAAAGAACATGTTCTCTAACTTATTTTCCCCACCTTACTGTGTCATATCTGCAAAACCACAATCTTGAAATGGAATATGCAGGAGTAATTTTGCCAGAAAATTGGAATCCCTAATCATCCATAAGACCGCAAGAGTGGGAAAAACGGGTGTGTTGTTTTGCCCTAACTCTACCACTCTATTTTCTGAATGACATGTCTTTGTTCTTACGTGTTGACTGAATGTGTTGTTATGTTGTGTAGCCATGCTCCTGCTAAAAAAGTGCAGGCATCTGCACAGATGGAACCATCTAATAAAAGGCTATTTAAGTGTGTCTCCTCAAAAACCCCTGAAATAAGTCCCATTAAACATGAAAGAGTAGCTACTCCTGTCATCCATTACTGAAGAGGGGCCCTTTGGCCAGCTGTGGATTGGAATTTTCAAATGACTTTACAATGAAGGCAAACATGTTTACTTAGGCTAGTAGTGAGTTTTTGAAAGAAGCAAAACGTTAAATATAATGACCTCAAATCGAGTACAACTCCTCCAATCAACATAACCTAGTTTGCTTTGAAAGGTTATTTTGTTAATCCTTATGATACATGTGTTTACTGCATTAATTTGAACAAAGTAAGATTAAGTCTTCTTAATATTATAGCAATGTTAATTATTTCCTTCCAGGCATTTTGTTATTTTGTATTTCCCCCAATTCTTTGGGTTGGATAATTGGGAGGTCGGGTTTTTGGCATCCTCAGACCCCTTCCTTGTCCTGCACCATCCGGAAGAAGCTACGGTTCAGCACCGCGGACAGGGACCCTGCGCCAGACGCGGCTCACAGTTGCAATGAGTTTAAGTGTGAAGAGCGCACACTAGGAGAGTCTCTCCTCCTTAAAAACGGCTTTCCACCTTTTTTTCCCTCTTCTTCTTCCCCTTTTTTTCAAGGTGGAAAGGAAATTAATCCTCACAGCTTCCACTGACATTAATAACACGCCTTGGAGTATAAAGCCTTTCAGCTTTTTGATAACCGAGAAATACTCTTTCTTTTCCTGGTGCATTCTGACCCCTGGCGCAGTGCCTGCACCGCGGACTCCTCAGTCCTGGGGCGTTTATTCAGATGGTGGATTCACAAGCCTTCTGCCGTCGTTTCTGTTTTATGTGTTTTCCTGTTTTAAGGGACCTTGGGGTGGGGGCAGCATTGGGGTAATCAAGGTCTTCCAGCTCTTAATCCTTGCGTTTTCCTTTTACCTCCTCAAAACGCGGTTTAGTTGTTTACAGACAGAGGTAAGCGAAAGAAAACGCAACAGAGCCATCTGCTGTTCTAAGCGGTGATGAAAGCCTGTGCAAAACTAGGGTGAAAACCGTTCAGGGCGGGTGAATACTAACCCATATTGCTGTAATTCAGAAAATAATTTCTCACTCATGAGAAACTCCCCAGAGTTAATTTTACCTTTGACTTTATAAAAACAACAAAGTACTGCCCTAGCAGAGTGGCACCTGACCAACCTGTCAGGAGTCTGAACTCTGATTTCAGATGTTTCTGGTTCACTTCTTGGCTCTGCTACTTCCTGGCTGTATAATGACCTCCAGTAAGTTGCTTTAGTCTCTCTCAGTCTTAATTTCTTCATCTCTGAAAGTAAGATGATAAAATCTCCTTTTCAACTCCTGTGAGATCAATTTGAACAGATGAATGTAAAGATCCTAGCACTCCAGGATGTGTCTGGCACGTCCCAAGTGCTCAAAAAATGACAGCTACTGTCATTATCTTCCAGATCACTCATTTTTATCTTCTAAATTCCTTTCCAATTTCCATGTTTTTTCAATACCAAAATATATGTACCCCCATGTACATTCCCTCATCTCCTAAATGGATTCATGATTATTCAAAATAACCATAAAAGTAAAAAAACATTTTAAGTTTTGGAGAGAGAAATTCAAATCCAAACCTTTAGTTTGTAATTGACTAAATTTATGAAGTTAGCTTTGTACACCTATTTGCCTACTTATTGAATACTGAAAATAAAAACATTTCCCTCTCACAGAGATTAATATGTGTGCTTATGAGAAAAGAGATCTAAACCTGCCATAGAAGAATTAATTCATTGTGAGCTAATTAGCTGGCCATTTCCCTGTGCTTGCAGGGCTTCTGAGGATCTCTTGCTTTCTTTGGCCTCTGCTTTGTATATGCTGTTCCCTCTGCCTGGAATATAACATAAAATAGTGGCTAAAACCACAGTTGGACTAAGGCAAACATTGGCTTGATTGTGTGTCCTTGAGCAATTCATTTAAACCTAAGACTGTTTCTTCTTCAGGAAAACTGTCATAATAATATAATAAGGTTATTATGAGAACTAAATGAGAACATTTTGTAAAACACTTAAAGCAGTGCCTGTCACAGAGTGGGAAACAATAAATAGTAGCTATTGGCAATTGCTTAGCCCTCCTCACTCAGGTTTTCATTTGTTCAGTGACCAAGTCCTAGACTGACATCTCGATGAAGATAATCTAATAGGCATCTCATGCTTCACGCATCCAAGATAAACTCTCTTTCTTTCTTCTCAAACCTGCTCTTCTCCACTCTTTCCCCTCTCTGGAATGATAACTCCATTTTTCTTGTCCCTCAGGCCAAAAATTTTGGCATCAAACTAATCTCATTTGTTTCTTCAATATCCCATATGTAATTCCTCAGCAAAATCTGTTCACTCTATCTTCAAAACACATCCAAAATATGGTCACTTCTCTACTACTATCACTATCTCCACTGCTACCTACCACCACCATCTTTTGGACTATTACAAAAATAGCCTGATTGGTCCCTTGGGATCACTTTTGCTCTTCTTTGATATGCTCTCAATATTGTAGTCAATGTGCTGAAAGTTTTAATCAGATTATGTCACACCCCTACACAAAATCCTACACATCCCTGATTCAAAAAGATGTATGCACCTCATGTTTATTGCCTCATCATTTACAACAGTCAAGATATAGCAGTAACCCAAGTGTCCATCAATAGACATATGGATAAAGAAAGTATGGTATATATACACAATAGAATATTATTCAGCCATAAAAAGGAAAAGAAATCCTTCCATTTATGACAACATGGTTGGACCTAAAGCATATTATGCTAAGTGAAATTAGCCAAACAGAGAAAGACAAATACCATATGATTTCACTTATTTGTGGAATCTAAAAAAAAATTAAAAATCAACAAAATAGCAGTAGACTCATAAACACTGAGAAGTGACTGGTGGTACCATGGGGGGAGGGGTTGTGTTGGGAGGGCAAGGAGGATAAAAGGGCATGAAAATTCTCAATCATAATGTAAGTTGGTCACAGGGATGGTAGTACAGGATGGAGAATGTAGTCTATGATGGGTATGTGCTAAAGCACTGTATTGTATATTTGAAACCAATATAAGATGCATATCAACTATACTTCAACTT